AAATACCCTACAAGATCTGTGGTCTACTGAAAACACTACCTGAACATGGATTTTCTGACTAGAGGGTCTTCTGATGATAAGGCTGACCCCGATTGTGGCTGGTGCCCGAACTTGCACTTCTGGAGTTTTTGCAAACCGTCTACTGTATTTTAATTACTGACCTAGTCACTGGAGAGAAATTAAACTGAGTGGAGGCACTAGGTGGTGCCAGTCTGTCTACAAGATTAGACCAAATCCACAGATTTAGGCTGCTTATAATGTTTTAATTAATGCCAAATAAAATATCCAGCACAAATGATGTATGATAGACAAACATTAATCATTTGTATATTTTACTTTACACTCATATTTAGTTTGTGGGACTGCAGTTTATCATCCCACCCGCCCGCTCCAGCATCATGCAGTCCTGCTACCGCCCACTCCCGCAATGAGCTTTCAAAATGTGAATTTTCAGTCCTGTTCCTGCAGTGTGCAGTCCCGCTCCCGCAAAGAATTGTAATTTTCAGTCCCGCTTCCTTCCGCATTTGCAATATTTTGTCCCTCTTCCACCTGCAAGTCCCGCAGGATGGGAACCTTTGCTTTCTTAAGCTCTATCAGACACGGAGAAGCGAAAGGATTTGGGCTGCGTATGGGAGGAGGCGCGGTGGGCGGTCCAGCGGCATGGTTAAGTCCTGGCTAAATCCTGTTTTAGTCCTGTTTTAATCCTGGTTTTAGACCTGGTTTAGTCCTGGTTATGTTTGAAACCCACGTGACATATGGAAGGAGGGACTGTCTGCTCGGCGTACGGGAGGGGGGACGGTCTGCTGCTTAAAATGTTTTTATTAATGCCAAATAAAATACCCAGCACAAATTATGCATGCTATGTTTACATTCATTATTTGTATATTTTACTTTACACTCATATTTAGTTTGTGGGACTGCAGTTTATCATCGCAGTGAGCATTCAAAATGTGTCCAGCCCCGCACAGTTTTTTTTTTTTTTGATGAGGAAACAGTATTATAACACAACTTGAAACTCACATTAGCCACTTTTGAAAAATATAGGACCTTTAATGACAAAGTACACTTAGTATCCCCTTCTAACATCCGAAAACCACCAATCCAATTTCTCAACGTAAGTCAGAGCACTGGGGCGTATTGTAGCTTCCGTTTTATTCCTTGTTGGTGTATTTGATGTTTTTACTGCCAGTTTTCACACGTAAAGAGGTGCAAAGATCTCTGGGACAAAAGTGAAGAGGGTGTTAAACACAGACACATGCTCCAGGCTACATTAGACGCGGCCATGGGCTTACGAACAAAGAGAAAACATCAAGCATCATTGAATTAAACAGCCCTCTTCAATGATCGGCGTAAACAAGATCATGAAAATAGCTGTCCCTTACTACAGATGATCACACTGTTATCAAAGAATTCTCCACTTAAAGGCGCACCGTGGAACCTTTCTAGTGGGGAGTACGTGTTTGTGTCCAAGGAGATTGTGACGCTTTGCTTGAAACGTTCTACAGTTTGACTTTAACTGATCTATTTTGCATTTATTCAATTACAGTTATTTTATTGCTAAAAACTTTGAAAATGCACATTCTTACTAAAGCTGCAAGGTTCATTTCATCTCATCTTATTCTGCATAAAAACTGTTAATATTGTAGTTCAGATCTTCAAAAATCTATGGTTCTTGTATTATTTCATATTTCAGTGTTTTTGTTTTTTTTTTGTTTTCAGTTTTTCTGGACGTGTTTGAAATGTGAACTTTGAACAGAATCAGATTATTAAAGCATAAATTTCACATCTGATCGCAGTAAAATTGTAATTACATATCCCAAATTGTCAGTGTTGGGAAGGTTACTTTTAAAATGTATTCCCCTACAGATTACAGACCCCAAAATGTAGTTTGTAACGGAATCCATTAAGTTACTTAAAGTGAGTAACATAATCCTGGATTACTTGATAGTTTCCTAATTTTAGTCCTGGTTTTAGTCCTGTTTTTAGTCCTGAATTTAATCCTGGTTTAGTCCTGATTTAGTCCTGGTTTTAGTCCTGGTTTAAGTCCTGTTTTTAGTCCTGATTTTAATCCTGGTTTTAGTCCTGGTTTAGTCCTGGTTTAGTCCTGGGTTAGTTCTGGTTTTAGACTTATTTTTAGTCCTGATTTAGTCCTGTTTTTTTTGTTTTTTTTTGTCTTGGTTTAGTCCTGGTTTAGTCCTTGTTATTTTAGTCCTGGTTTAGTTCTGGTTTTAGACTTGTTTTTAGTCCTGATTTAGTCCTGTTTTTTTTTGTTTTTTTTTTTGTCTTGGTTTAGTACTGGTTTAGTCCTGGTTTTAGTCCTGGTTTAGCCCAAAATGTGAAAACAGGAAAATACCACTGTGTAATCCATTTATTTCAACAAAGTAACTGTAATCCAATTACCACTAATTGAAACAGTAACTGTAACTGAATACAGTTACTCATAATTTGTACTCTGATTATGTAACTCCGGCACATGTAATCTGTTACTCCCCACACTGCAAATTGTTCAGCTCCAATTTTTTATTGTGAGTTGGATCGCCTCTCCGCAGCTCTAACCTGTAAAATGTCCTGCTGTCTACATGGATGCAAATAGGTGATGGAGATTCATAAATTTAAACAGTTATAATCAACGATACCTGTGGATCACTGTGTTTTCATTTGCAAATTTTAAATCGCAATATTCATCTAAAACCACTTAAAGCTGCATTGTGTAACTTTTCCGGTGGAGGGTTTGTCAAATGCTTGTCTCCGTGGAGATGTTATTACTATGTCTGGAATGTTTCAAATGTATTAAACCTTTCTATCTCCACGGAGACCAAACTAGAGCAAGTTACAGGTCAGATCTGTGGAGAGGCGACTCCAGTCACAGTCAGAATGTCTGTTTTTTCTATGAAGTTTTGAGCTGTAAAACCACATGCAATTTAATACTTGCAAGGTAGAACTGTTTAATGTCACACTGTGGAACATTCCAGGCAGAGCAGTGATATACCCATAGAAACAAGCAGGTGACGGACCCCCAACCAAAAAGTTACATCATGCACTGTCCTCTGACTGCTGTGTTAGAAAACTGCAGTGCTCACTGGGAGCTGACGTCGCTGTAAACATAATCTCAACAAAAAGCCACACAGCTGTCAGCGCCTGTGATGGACGGCCACAGATCACACTAGATAGAAGTTTTTCATTTGTACCAGAATAACTACACAATGCTGCCGATGTATCACCAATTATGAAAATATACTGGAGAAGTAAAGAGAAGTGGGGATTGATCTTAAATACAGGAGAACAATGTTTACCGTATTTTTCGGACTATAAGTGGCACTTTTTTTTCATGGTTTGGGTGTTTCCTGCGATTTATACTCCGGTGTATATATATTATATATTCAAATGTTGACAGTGAAGTGGTGAGAGGCTTTAGTCTTGAGTGTGAGTATCTGCTGCTCCTGTTCCTCCTGTACCACTGTCACTTCACTCTACTGCACATGTCTCCTGCAGAAAGAGCCTCTGTCCTGTCTGTATCATGTCAGTCGATCACACCATTACTTCTGAACAATTTAAACAAACTTATAAAGATGACAGAGAACACTGAACACAAATGCCCCCAAAAAGAAAATCTGATTTTGTAGAATACAAGATGAAAGTTGTGAAATCTGCAGCTGAAAATGGAAATCGAGCAGCAGAAAGAAAGTTTCGAGTGAGAGAGAAACTTGTGACATTTGGAGGATGCACCATGAAACTTTTCTGAAGTCACTGGATGGATGGGCAAAGCCTGGAAACCATCCTGTCAGGATTCAGAAAGCCCCGAATAATTCTAACTGGAACTGAGGTTGAGTCTGACGACAGCGACACAGAAGAGGAAGCGACGCTCTGTTTACCTCCGGAGGTCGAGGCTGAGTTGTTCAGAAGTGACACCGAGGATGAAGAATTGAATGGATTTAGTGATTTGGAGTGAGATGGAGAGTTTGGTAAACTTGTTCTGTTGTTTATGTTATAGTTTATCTGAAGAACTGTTCATATGTGACGTTAACAGTCTGTTGTTCTCTCTTCTATTGTTATTACTACAACTTGACTTTACACAGGAAATGTCGGTTCCTGGTCTCTGATTTTATAAAATACATTTCCCCCAAACTGCGACTTATAATCCTCGACTTATATGTTTTTTTTCTTCTTCATTACTCATTTTTTGGCTGTTGCGACTTACGCCAGAGCTACTTATAGTCCAAAAAATCTAGTGCTCAAACATGCATAACAACACTAAATAGAAGAAAAAGCCTGGATAAAAACTCAAAAAAGTCGAGTTTGCAAAACAGGTCCGCTTTAATGTCACGCTGCCCTGCACACGCCAAACTAAACTTCGAGAAAGTCACACAGTGCACCTATGCTGATACGCTTTAATTGATTCACTTGTTTTATATTCATAGAAAGACATGCCCTGCTGTGCACGGTTAATCCCTGGAAGATAATAATCCCTTTCTCTTGTCAATTTAATCTAAACAATGTCACCTGTTGTGTTTCTACAAAGACTAAAACCAAATTACGAGGATTAAAAAACAGATAAAATAGCGTTTGATAGTTTTGATAGTTTCTTTAGACGATAATTACTGATCTGTCTCCATGTACATTCCCTGTCAAAGCTATGATTTGGCCACACCCTAGGGGGATTTTCTATACGAGGCTAAGAGTAATTACAATCTGGATGTAGCGGTGTTGTTATTTGTAGATTAGCGCGCAGCCGTAGAGGAAGTGGCGGGGAAGGGGGGGGATAGACGTAGGGGCCGTGTGCCGCGCTCTGGAGTAAATTGTCCATGCGGTGGGGGTTTCATGCTTTTATAACAGGTGTCAGCAGAGGCAGCGTCTCACTCCGTTTGGTTATGACAGCTCTCGGTATTGCCAGGAAACAGCATGTTGGGAAAACTGAAGCGTGTAGGTGCGTGTAGGACTGTTTTCCTCTTAACTCTCAAGTGCACGGAACGCTAGAAGATTTTCACAACAAAGACTTAAAGATGGAAGAGAAGTACACGTCCAAATTGTCACCTACGGTTGATTTCTGGGCAGGAGTGTACTTGGTGATTATTGGTAAGTTGATTTTTGCTTCTTGGAATTTGCAGTTTTCTGGAAGTAGAAAAGAAAAAGAGACATTGCAAACAATATTTTAGTAGAATTTATTTACATCCAAATTGTCACCGACTGTTGATTTTCTGGGCAGGAGTATTTTTGCTGATTGTTGTTAAGTTGTGGCTTGATTTTTGCTTCTTTGAAACAGCAGTTTTCTGAAAGTAGAAAAGAAAAAGAGACATTGCAAACAATATAGACAGAATATTGAATCAGTAGCACAAGATGGACTTAAACATGGAAGAGAAATTCACATCCAAATTGTCACCGACTGTTGAGTTTTTGGGCAGGAGTGTAGTTGGTGATTGTTGGTAAGTTGATTTTTGCTTCTTCGAAATTGCAGTTTTCTGGAAGTAGAAAACAAAAAGAGACATTGCAAACAATATTTTAGTAGAATTTAGTAAATGTAGAACTGGTAGAATAAGGAATGCCAGAAGATTTCCACAAGAAGGACTTAAACATGGAAGAGAAATACAGATCCAAATTGTCACCGACTGTTGATTTCTAGGTAAGAGTTTACTTGGTGATTGTCGGTAAGTTTGGCTTGATTATCGCTTCTTCGAAATTGCAGTTTTCTGAAAGTAGAAAGAAAAAAAAAAAAAGAGAGAGACAGCAATCAACATTAGCAGAATTCTTGAATTAGTAGGACAAAAAGTACTTAAATATGGAAGAGAATCTAAATCCACATCCAAATTGTCACATACTGTTGATTTTTGGGCAGGAGTGATTGTTCAAACTGCAGTTTTCTGAAAGTAGAAAAGAAAATGAGACATTGCAAACAATATTTTAGTAGAATTTAGTAATTGTAGAACTGGTAGAATAAGGAATAGGAGAAGATTTCCACAAGAAGAACTTAAACATGGAAGAGAAATACACATTCAAATTGTCACCGACTGTTGATTTCTGGGCAGGAGTATTTTTGCTGATTGTTGTTAAGTTGTGGCTTGATTTTTGCTTCTTTGAAACAGCAGTTTTCTGAAAGTAGAAAAGAAAAAGAGACATTGCAAACAGTATAGACAGAATATTGAATCAGTAGCACAAGATGGACTTAAACATGGAAGAGAAATTCACATCCAAATTGTCACCGACTGTTTAGTTTACTTGAGGATTGTCGGTATGTTTGGCTTGATTTTTGCTTCTTCGAAATTGCAGTTTTCTGAAAGTAGAAAGGAAAAAAAGAAAGCGAGACATAGAAATCAAAATTAGCAGCATTCTTGAATTAGTAGCACAAAAAGTGCTTAAATATGGAAGAGAAATCCACATCTATATAGTCACATGCTGTTGATTTCCGGGCAGGAGTGTAGTTGGTGATTGTCGGTAAGTTTGGCTTGATTTTTCCTTCTTCGAAATTACAGTTTTCTGGAAGTAAAAAGAAAAAAGAGAGAGAAAGAATTAAATCTCCTCCTGTTGATTTTTGAGCAGGACTGTATTTAGTGATTCTTGGTAAGTTGATTTTTGCTTCTTTGCATTGTAGTTTTCTGAAAGTAGAAAGAAAAAGGCACGATTGTTGAATTAGTAGTGCAAAGAAGATTCCTACAAGAAGAACTTACACATGGAAGAGAAACACAAATCCAAATTGTCACCTACTGTTGATTTCGGTGATTGTCGTTAAGTTTTGCTTCTTCGAAACAGCAGTTTTCTGAAAGTAAAAAGTAAAATTTGAAAGTAAAAAAAAAAAAAAAGAGACATTGCAAACACTATAAGCAGAATTATTGAATTAGTAGCACAAGATGGACTTAAACATGGAAGAGAAATTCACATCTAAATCGTCACTTAGTGTTGATTCTTGCGCAGGAGTTTACTTGGTGATTGTGAGTAAATTTGGCTTGATTTTTGCTTCTTCAAAACAGCAGTTTTCTGAAAGTAGAAAGAAAGCAGAATTGTTGGGTTAGTAAATTTGAACAAAGCCTAAATGCTCTTTTTGAAATGAAATGTTTTCAACTTTTTATATAAGCATTAACATTTGGCTTTAGTGTTTACTGCTTAGGTAGAATTGGGTACCGTAAATTCTGGACTATAAGCCGCTACTTTTTTCTCACACTTTGAACCCTGCGACAAATAAAACGATGCGGTGAATATATGGACGGAATTTTTGTTTGGCACAGTGTCCATTCTTATTTAAGGTCTGTGGTTTGGCAACACAGTGGATACATGCAGCCTGAGTGCAGAAAACATCGCTGTCTGTGTGGCTCACACATGGATCTAGGGTTCACATGAAGTTGCTGCACTTGCTCGTGATATTGTCAGTGCATTCAAAGAGTTTATCGCCGTGTGATAAAATAAGTTATGATGTTAAATGAACATTAGTGAGGGGGATACGTCTTACCCGTGTGCGTAACTGACGGGAAAAATCGTTTCAAACTTCAGTAGCCGAACATCCACTCATACCTGATTGATACACTTAGCCCCGCCCCCGAGAGAGTCTGAAATCTGCTGAAATCCTCCAAGACACTGACATGATCCAGACAGGAAGAGACTCTTTCTGCAGGAGACATGCGCAGTAGGAGAGACGGGGGTGAAGTGCCGAGGAAGATGCTCATTTGATTTTGTTTTGAACAGTTATTTTGTGCTTCATACACACACCCTCCTCATGGAAAACACACAAAGAAATGCAGATGATGCAGCTTTTAAGTTCAAGGCGACTGATGTGGCTGTAGAAAAAGTAAACAGAGCTGCTGCACGTGAACTCGACATCAGTGAGTCGATGGTGAGATTTTGGCGAGGGCAGCGTGACGAACTGACTCAATGCAAAAAGATAAAAGCGATAAAAGCGGACGGCCTGATCTTGAAAATGTTCTTGAAGACGTGGACACCTGTGGTTTATATTCAGGTGCGGACTCTTATATACAATTAAAAAATTTTGTTAAAATTTAGTTGATGCAGCTTATATTCAAGTACGCGCAATAGTCCGGATTTTACGGTGGTTTTATTTGGATTAGCATGACAATAACAACTTTAGAGGCAAGAATCAATTTGACATTTGTTTTTGTTCATGATAATACAATAAGAAAAAGGTTAATTGTGTAGACCTGTGTTTTGTTCAGCTTTTTTTTTAGACAGAAATAGACATTATACTATGGAGCAGCGTATGTCTTTTCTATCCTCTTTCATAATCATGTGACAGATACAATTTTTGACTCAAAAAATCAACAGTATTTAAGAGAAAATGTGACTCATATTAATGCTATTTTCTGATCAATGTTAATTTGTTTCAGTTGTGTTTTGTTTCATTCACACTAGGGATGGGCATTCGATGAAATTTTCTTAATCGATCGTCGGAAGAATTAACGATCAATTATCGATTAATCATTAACGTTTTTATATTAAAATGATCATCATTATTATTACTATCTGCACAACTAATCTGCATAAATAAATTCAACTTTACGACATTTAAACACATTATAATGTCAAACGGCTGATGTGGCTCTAGAGTGGTTACTTTTTATTTCAGTTTTGCGCAACTCTCACAGAAACAAAACTTAAAACCGCATTGCTAATTTGCATAAACTAAGCAAAGATAAAAATATAGCTCTTTTGCGCTGATGCGGTTCAACTTCTGTCGGATTAAAAGACATGACTCAGTGAAATACAGGTTAGTGTGACCATATTGTGTTTGTCAAAACCAGGACACCGTACGGGGGGAGGGAGGTGGGGACTCGTCATCGACATTGTGCGACTCTCACCTGGCAAAACCTTTTCCCACTGGACACAGAAACATATGTGCTGCTTTATACACTGTGCACATGGACTCACACTTGTCCCGAACACAACGGAAAGTGTGGAATTTCTTGTACAAATCATCGTTAAATACACATTTGTGCTTCGGTACGTTGCAGACTGACCGAATGTTTGCATTTGCTGGCTCCTTCTGAGTGCAGAGAGACACATGTACAGACCCCTGTTTGGTCACACTACGCACAGCAAACTGCATTCGGTTTGTTGATTAAAATGAACGTAATCGATGAAATTCTTAATGATCAATTATCGATTAATCGACTAATCATGCCCGTCCCTAATTCACATATTACATTACATTTAACTCACACACCCTGCAAATATAGGCTGAGTTTTTCTCTCAAACTGAAAACACTCTGTTCCAAACTGTGAAGTCATGTGATAAGACGAGGAGCGCTTCACACACTTCAAACTCCATACTACTTTCAGCCCCGGAATTGCCAATCTCAAATGTGGAACAGAACATTCTGAGCGTTGGAGATGCAGACAGACTGATAATAACTTGACTCTAACACTGTAACATGTGTGAATGAAACAAAACACAACTCCAGGTCTGTTTTTGAGGAGGTAACTGCATTATAACACAAGAGTCGATTTTGCGTTATATAGGACCTTGTAATGTTCAATACCAATTGTTTGTTGTGAGGGGGTTGTCTGCTCTCAGTTACTTTTACAGAAAACGAGAATTCATTACATCTACAAAGATTAGTTTAAGGTTTTATCAATATGTTTTTTTTCTCAGAAGCAAATATAATGCATGTTTGTGCTTGTGTACCATCACCATTATCTTCACAGTCAGCTTCATCCATTCCCCATCGGGACTCACCGTAAGAAAACAGAAGACATGTGTCATATTTATGGATTTACAAACCCACACAAGGCTAAACAACAATGTGCCCATAGAATTGTAGTGTACATTAGACAGATAAGACAGCAACTATAAAGGTAAACTTGGTAAATGGAAAAATACAGGAGATTGTGTATTGTGTTTCTCAAATGATCCTTCACGTGGTTCATGGACAGCTTTTCAGTTTGTGGGTTTGCATACTTTTGCATTAATTTATCCATTGTTTTGTCGTCATTTGGATATTTTCTTGTTTTGAACTACAGTGGTAATGATGTAGTCCACTTTTAGACCTGGTTTAGTCCTAGATAAGTCAAATTGTCTGCGTCATGATGCAGAGAGTCTGCATTTACGCAGAGAGTCTGCGTCTACGAGCACCCCG